CCACTGTAAGAGTTTGAACTTCACAAGACCGACCATACAATACATACATAAAAGAAAGCCTCAGCATCGATCAATCCAGCAAATTAGAATTGAAAGTAGACGCACTCTACCCAGGCGTATTGTGTTAATCAATGCCCATGGTATTTTGGGTAGCTGATTCAGTGGTACCCCTACCCTGTTCTCCCATCGCTTTGCTAGTGGCGTCGTGAGGGGGTGAGATCTCCTTCGCGGTCTGTACCTGATTTAAGTGGTTTAGTGCAAGATGTTGACTCTTCTGGTCGCTCCTGTTCTTCCGCCTCTGATGTTCCATGCCCACTCCCCTGGGTCCACCTCCAGTTCTTCCACAGGAGTGGCTGGGCAGAATATTGTGAAGTCCTCTAGTCTCTACCACTCTTACTTTACGCAGGTGTTGTTTTTGAATGGTGATTGATGTTTTGGAGTCCTGATCCAGTAGGCAAGTGGTGCTGCCCGGATTTGTGATGGTATACATGTCCGTGTGCAGCCATTCCTTTCTTGTGGGCTCTTGGTCCCATATTCTGAAGGCTTCCCCTGGTTCCTTGTCTCGTTGCCATGTAGCCCAGTCTCCCAGGCCCCACCGTGTTCCTTTCCGTAATAGCTTTGTCCAACCCTTGTGGGATGGCCTCCAAGAGGACTTTGAGGTTCTCAGATAGTCTGTGGCATCCCCTTAGGTCTGTCCTTAGTTCCCTGACGGTCTTCCACCGCTTTTCCCCCTCTGCCCATAGATGTTTGACCTGCCATACCCTGTGCTCTAACCACTTCCCCCACTTAGTATCCTTGGCTGAGAGTGTTAATGGTTTCCCCTGTGCATCCTTGATACTTGAATTGCAGAACAACGGTTGGCGGAGAACTTCTTCTCTCGTGTGTGGCTCCCTTACTTTAGCCGGGAAGATGTCCTTCCACAGCTTCAGCAATTGACTCCAACGACGCCACCCTAGGTCCTTCCTCTGTACCCGCTCTGTCGCCCTCCCCTCGACCCACCTTGGCCCAAGTGCTACACAGGATCCAGAACTGGCCCGACATATTCGGTGGCTTTTTATATTTGGCTATTTGCCTGATCCTATGTAGCGCCAACGGTGTCCAGGGTAGATTTTGATGGGATATTAATTTGACGACCCATTTCGTTTGGAGCGCCTTGAGCTGCTGGTCCGGGTCCACAATGCCCAGACCTCCTTGTTCTTTCACTTGGGTGATGTGCTTCCACGCTACCTTGGAAATGAAGTGCGGTTTGGTTGCGTTGGATGTCCAAAGGTATGTTGCCGCTCTTCTTCTCAGTAGAGAAGCTGTCTGTGCTGGTAGGGTCCAGATTGTCCCTGCGTACAATAGCAAGGGGTAGATGGAGGTGTTCAGAATCAGCGCCCTGCCGAAGACAGAAGTGTAAACCGCTGACCAAGCCCCCAACTTTGCTAGGATTTTGGACATGAGATCAGCAGCCATCGAGTGATGTGGCCCAGCTTCCGTGATCTTGACCCCTAGGTATCTCAGCGAGGTGTGTGCTGGCGTCCATTGCAGTCCCTCTGGGCTTGTGACTGGGTCTACAGCCTCCTCTTCCTGGTCTGCTAGTCACCAGCCTACGGTCTTCGGCCAATTGATCTTCATCTCCGATGCTAGCTGGAAGGCCTCCATCGCCCGCGTTAGAGCTTGGAAGGATGAGTCCGATGCTCTTATTAGTACTGTGAGGTCGTTCGCGAAGAGGAGAGTCGTAGGCAGCTGGATAAGACGTCCTTGCTGGTCTGGTTCTGTTGTAAGTCGCTGGCTTGATGGATCTTTTTGCAAAAAGGATGCCACCACTTCCATTATGAATAGGAAGATTGGTGCCGCCAAGGGGTCTCCCTGTCTGACCGATCGCGACATCCTGTATCTCGTTGATAAGTAGCCATTAACCTGAACTTGCCCATGTGCATCGTTGTAGAGGACTCTAATCCATTTCCGAAAGTTGGGCCCTACTCCCATCTTCTCCATGCATTGCTGCAGAAAGGGCCAGCTGACATGATCATAAGCCTTTTCAAAGTCGAAAAGAAGTATTGTTGCGTTAATTCTCTTGTCCTTTATGTAACGAACTCACTCAGTTAGCGTCATGACATTGTCTAGTATGAAACGTCCTGGTATAAAACCCGTTTGATTCAAGTGAAAACATCCCGCGGTAATTGCTGTGAGTCGGTTGGCTAAAACCTTGGCTACTATCTTGTGCGTCAGTGTGAGTAGGGTTATTGGTCTGTAGTTGCGAATGTCTGCTGGGTTTCCTTTCTTGTACAGTAACATGACTATTCCCGTTGCCGGGTCCTGTCCTAGCCCTTCTTCTTGCCACGCTTGCTCCAGATATGCTAGATACTCCTCGCCTAGGATTGGCCAATACTCCAACCAGAATTCTGTGGTCAGTCCATCTTTCCCCGGCATCTTATTTGGAGCCATTGCCTTTAATGCCTTCCATAACTCCTCTTGCGTCAAAGGGGCGTCGAGCTTAGCCGCTTGCTGTTGGGAAATCGTAGGCTCAAGGTGGAGCAGAAATTTGGAGTGTGCCTCCTCCACTTGTTGTCTTGGGTGCTCGGCTTCCCTTGTTGCATAAAGCTTGCTATAGAAGTCATGAGCAACTTGGACCATCTCGTCTATGGCTGACGTTGGTCCATGCGGTCCCTCCAGTTTGTCTACCCGGGCATTCCTTCCTCTGGGTTTGATTTTTTGAAAGAAGAGTTTGGTCATTCGCTCCCCCTCTTCCCACTCCCTTACCCTGGTCCTCATTTGCAGCCCGCGCAGTCTCCATTGTTCCCATTCTGCTAACTCCTCCCTCGCTGCCACTAACGTCCTTTCGTACATAGCTACCCCTGGACAACTAATGATGCTTCGCTATGCTACCCTCATTGCTTGCTGTAGTGCCTGCTCTCTCTCCCTCCTCTTTGCTGCCATCTGTCTGGCAACCCTCTCAGAAGCTTTGGATAGGGATATGAGCAGGGTCTGGAAAGGCTTGCGTCTCCGGGTTATGTGACTGGCTGTTACATACTCTAATGAGTATGGGCAGAACCAAGGATCAACCAATGTAGGATGAGCATATATGCAACGGAAGTCTGATGAACGGACTGACTCACATAGACTGACTCACATAGCATCACTCCACACACATACAATCGTGAGGTGTGGGGTCTGAGCCATACATAGAAGATGCTCAGCCCCGTACGCACATACACAGATGAATGGGGGAGGAGAGACGAAGAGGTGGGGGGGAGGTAGACAGCACCGAAAGTCACCGAGATAGAATCTGATAGGTCACCGATATGGTAGTCCAAAATGTCATCCAACAGGATCAAATGTCGAGGACCATAGGTCACCAATGTCRGGAATACAGAGTCCAAATGTAACCGGTGTCTGAACTGTGATGTCGCCAAGTATCAACCCCAATGACCTCCAAGTCTCCAATCTGGTAAGTACCACAGTCTCATACCACCGAAGTCCAACTCTGATCTCTGTCCAATCTGAAGAAGAAGAAGAAGAAGAAGAAGAAGAAGAAGAAGAAGGAGAAGAAGAAGAAGAAGGGAGCCGAGGAGGAGAGGGAGAGAGAGGGGACTGGCGATGGGAGGGAGGAGAGAAGCCTCCAACTCCCGGTACCTCAGGCGGCTATGGCCGCCTGTAACCCAGTCGCCGCTGCTGCTGCTCCGCTCGCTGCTGCTGTGCTAACGCTGCGCTGCCTGCTCCTCGCTCCTGCGCTAAACATAGCGCTCCAACGGCACTCTGGTGCCGACCTTACCGCACCGTATCGTATACCGGTGGGTCGATGCCTCGAAGTGAGGCCGGACCAGTACTAAGTACTGGTTCGAAGAGGACCGGCCTCACTGCTGTGAGGCCTTGGTTGGGGCTGAGCCGTCCAGATCGACGATTCAGGTCCAACCGGAGAGCGGCAGCCTCAAACGGCGCCGTCAGGCCCAAAGACGAAATGTCATTTGGGCCTGGTCCGTAGTCGTGTCCTTTCGGCCTGTTATCCCCCAAGGTCGGGCCTTTAGGCCCTGATGTGTCCCTCTAGCCCTAAGTCGGGTCCGGTAGGACCCGTGTGGCGTCGAAGATGTAACACTGGCACACTTGTAGTACGAGTACGGCCTGTCTCATTTCCATAGTACGCAGCAGAGAGTTGTTTAATTTATAGAAACTCTTCCCCCTCTTGACTTGTTTATCTGTGATTAGGTGGAGAAAGATAGGCTTGTGATCCAAACCTGTCACGTAGGGTAAGTCTCTTATGCCCACCGCTTGTATCATGCACGTTATTCCTGGCGAAGTTAGGAAGTAGTCGATCCTTGACGCGGACATGTGCTGGCTGCGGTTCCTTTTAAGGTAGGTGAACTGCTTTTCCTCCGGGAAGTGCAGCCTGTAGAGGTCCACTAAGTCCCTGTTTGTCATCATGCTGTGGATTGGCAGGGCCTCCTCTCCCACTCCATCCCAGTGCCTGCTTGCTACCGACATCCTATCCAGGCTGGGGTCTAAGACGGCATTCCAATCTCCCACTACTATCAGGTGCCTGTCCGAAAAGACTGAATTCAGGTGAATCCAAAGATGAATGAGCAGCACTGAGCACTGTGTGCATTTGTAACCCGAGGGTAAGTGATGATTGGGCATGAAAGGACCCAAGCTCCCATGGCACCAGAATAGTTGAAAGGACTGATGTCAAGAGACCATACAAGCTCCCAGAGGTGTTACATAGAATATTTGTCCATGGGTTTTGCTTTTATTTTTGGGAGGCAGTATGACAATATGATTATATATGAGTGTAATTTTGTTTTCTGTTTTTTTTCCCTAGGATGATGCACTAGATCCCTTTTCTTTTCCTAGGAGCCAACCACCCCCACCAACAGAGCTGCTCAAAATCTGGCAGTGCGAGTTTCTGTGGATGCTCAGATGTCGCCTTGACAATGTATTTATTAAATTTATTTAAATTAATTATTTATTCTAGACAGTTTACATTGCTATGATGCATCCAATAAATGGAATTTCAGGCTTACCTTATCAAGGGATGAACTTGAACCGGAACAGCACTTGTTATTTCGGTCGACCACACCAGATTGACAGCATCGGTAAGATCCATCAACATAACCAGGGCTGGGACATGATGAGGAAATCTCACAGAAAGTCCCAGACCATCCTTCTGGGCAGAAGCACTTTCCAGCCTTCACAAGACACCAATCATGAGAGACACAGGACCCAGTTAGTTCGCGCTCTAACAAAGGCGCGAATGGCAACCAAAAGCAGGAAGTTCTCTCACAAGGACAACTCGAGTGTCCGGGCTAGCGTGAGCTGTTACGGATAGTTAACGCTGGTTGTTATGTCCAGCCTGTTCCTTTGCTCAAATTGCTTGCATGTACCACAGTACTTTTCTTTTTTTGAATTTCTCTCTCTCTCTTTCTCTCTGTTGTTTTAAAATAAAAGACATTCCGGTCTTAGCTCGATTCTATTCTGGGGAGTATCAGTCCAGTTTCTTGTTTTACTTATTTTTTGCCAGAACCTTCCGGTCCTGGATCCAATCTCTTCTGGGTAGCATCAGTCTGATTACTCTCCACGGACAAGTCGACAACATACGAGAGCAATTGTCACATGCCTATAAGGCAAAGATCAGAACCAAGAACTGACCCAAAGAGATAGAGCAATGATAGCACAGCAGAAGACTGATATACCACGTTCGGACTCAAAAGGACTCAGACTGATGGCAACACACTCATCATCATCAATCAATGGTGGGAAGGCATGGGGCCGAGCACAGGGACGAAGAGTGCCGTGCCAGACATCATCCGCAGACGAGGAGGAGGGGGAAGAGATGAAGAGGAGGAGAAATGGAGATGTCGTCAACCCAAATGTCACTCATGAAGGCTCCAAAAGTAGTCTGTCCACATCTCGGTCTGAAGTCAATTTCACCAAGTCTCAACGCTCAAAATCTCTCTCTCTCTCTCTCTCTCTCTCTCTCTCTCTCTCTCTCTCTCTCTCTCTCTCTCTCTCTCTCTCTCTCTCTCTCTCTCTCTCTCTCTCTCTCTCTCTCTCTCTCTCTCTCTCGTGTAGAAGAAGAAGAAGAATCAGAGGGAGGGAGGAGGAAGAGAAGAGATGAAGCTGGAGGGAGACGAAGAAGAAGAAACCTCTCATAGTCTCACGAAGGTGGAGCCAGGATTCTGACCAGCGTAAAGGTGTCTCCTTGGAGCTGTGATGCAGGTGGAAGATGCCTGAAGACAAGCAGGAGCTATGGTGCCAGGTAAGTCTGCAGGTACGTCGCCCATACCCTGCCCTCCGCCCTCAACCTCTAACCCAACTTCTCTGCCTACTCCTCTTACTGAAGCAGCGCTGCGCAGCAGCGTGTAGACCTCAACCTCTAACTCTGCATAATGCTACCTACCGACAACTGGATATAGCGCTGGTCCGGCCGAAAAGACACACGTGCGTCCGAACTAAACTGGCGCCTAAACCTGGACTGGGCCTGGCACCTAAGCGAAACAGCACCAGGGGTAAAAGACCCAGACCCTGACTGAACTGACACTGGTCCTGAAGCAGACCCGGTAACAACCCAAAACTAGGTCCTACTGACGGACCTAAATCTCAAACGACGTGGAAACTGGAACTGGACCTAAATCTCCCAAGGACCTCCCCATTTTCAGGAAAGGATCAGAGTGTTATACAATGACGCTACAGGGTGTGTCCGAGTGCATGGCCTCTTGTCAGAAAGCTACCCAATGTCCCGGTTGGTAAGGCAGGGAGACCCATTGCCCCCCCCAGTTTTCTCATTCGTAATGTAAGCTATTGCATCCTTGCTGCGAAAGCATCGACCCATTCAGCGCCTACTGGATATGGGCTCAGGATCAGCACACCACATATCATTCCCAACAGTGATCATGCTTGCAGATGACTTAACAGTTCTGATATGGGCGGCCAATTCCGATTTGGTACATTGGCCAGTGCAATCGAAGCCTTCACGCTAGGCATGGGAAAGGAACCTGGTTTAGGATTAGCCCTGACAACCCAACCCGCCATGTGGGGATACCACTGAACAAAGATGGTGCATCCCCAGATATGGCGCACAATCTGCTGTCCAGCACCCTAAATAGAATGAGGAAGTGGGGGCAAAACTTCACATCCCTCATTGGTAAAGTGTTGACTATCAATGCATCAATTTTCGGTTTTTGTTTTTGAAAACCCCCACACACATTGGTGCCCCATTTATTCTGCGGGGCAGCAGTCCGGTTGCTTATCACCAGCAAGCATAACAAAGGCCAACAGAAAGCCCCAGAAGGGGGGAAGAGTTACTTCGGTTACTTCCAGCAACAGCCCCGGGCGGGAAACTCCCTATGGTAACCAGACGCCTCAGACCAGTTCACCTGTAATCAGAGTTCCCTTTCGCCCTGCCAACTATTGCCTTCTGCAAGCTTTCCCTTCGCCCTTCGATATATTTGCCCACACGTTACTCCATACCGCATTCATCAGTTGGTCCTCCATGTCCTTGTCGGTCCACTGGTCCTCCTCTGTGAACAAATACTGACAGCACTGGACCGCATATGCCAGAATTTCCCAAGACTTCATAGCCACCGGGGCATCCTCCTGAAACGGGTGCTTACGCTGGTGCATAGTGGCAGGCGCATGACACTGCCGAACCCACTGAAAGAAACAGCGGGTCATTCTCTCCCACCGCTTTACCCACCCCACCTTAGCTATCCTCCTGTTGCATACTTGTGAGTACTTCAACAAGTATGGGCAGAACCAAGAGATCAACCAATATAGGATGAGCACGTATGCAGCGGAAGTCTGATAAATGGACTGACTCACATAGACTGACTCACACAGATATCACTCCACACACAAACAATCGTGAGATGGTGGGGTCTGAGCCAATCATAGGCGATGCTCAGGCCCCGTACACACATACACAGATGAAAGGTGGGAGGAGAGACGAAGGAGGTGGGAGATGTAGGCAGCGCCAGATGTCACCCAGATAGAATCCATTAGGTCACCGATATGGTAGTCCAAAATGTCATCGAACAAGATCAAAATGTTGTGGACAATAAGTCACCAATGTCGGAGGTACAGAGTCCTAATGTAACCGGTGTCCAATCTGTGATGCCGCCAAGTATCAACCCCAACAATCTCCAAGTCTCTAATCCGGTAAGTACCACAGCTTCTTACCACCGAAGTCCAACACTGATCTCTGTCCAACTAGTATCAAGTCTCCAATCTGAAGAAGAAGAAGAGGAAGTCTGAAGAAGAAGAAGAAGAAGAAGAAGAAGAAGAAGAAGAAGAAGAAGAAGAAGAAGAAGAGAACAGAGGAGGAGAGAGGTGAGGAGGAGGGGAGCCAGGGACCGTGGAGGGAGGAGAAGACCTCACTCCCGAGTACCTGGCCTGCTGCAACTGACTGCAGCCGAAGTCGGCTACGGCTGTCCGCTGCCTGGCTCCTCGCTCGTTGCTGCTGCTGCACTAGCTGCGCTGCTGCTGCTCCTCTGCGCTGCGCTAAGAATAGCGCTGGCGCTAACGCTCCTCTGCTGAACCGAAACGACTGGCGCTCTAGCAGCGTCCCAGTGCTCGATGCCTCAGAATGAGTCTGGACCGGTCTTTAGTACCGGTAAGCAGAGGCTGGCCTCAATGCTGTGACGCCTGGCCGTGATCTGAACCGTCGAGATCGTCGGTTCAGATCAGACCAGCGGGCGGCAGCCTCAAGAGCGCCGCCAGGCCCAAATGGTAATGTCGTTTGGGCCTGCCCGTTGGGTCTGGTCCAAAATGCGGCCTTTCGGCCTGCTGTACCCCCAAGTCTGGGCCTTTAGACCCTACTGTGTCCCTCTGGCCCTAAGTCGGGTCCGGTAGGGCCCGTGTGGCGTCGAAGATGTAACACCTCCTGTCTTCCTTACTTCCTCTGCGAACCACTGCTGCCACTCGGCCACAACCAGGCTTCTGTGTTGCCACCATTCCTCCTCTGTCTGGTTAGGCATCAGGCCCTCTTGCAACACTTGCATTTTTTCGACAAACTCCCTGGCTGTTTTCTCGTGAGCAATTCTCTACACTTCAGCCGTTGTGTAAGGAGGGATCGCAGAACCACCGATCCTTGCTGCAACCATACCAACGAGCTTTGCTTCTGCGGGCGGTGTTGCAGCCAGAGCGCCTCTGAAAGCCCTTCTGAAAACACCCATGACCGCGATGCCGCAGGTGGGCGTCTTAACCGCATGCGTCAAGGAGCAGCCATGCTCATCAGTACTGCCACATTGTCCAATGCGGCCCTTTGGAGGGTGCCAATTTCTTGGACTTCTGCTATAGTGTCCAGGTCTGTCCAGCACATGTCCAGACCACATCAACTGGTCGGGGCCGAACCAGTCCAGGCAAAGGTGCATTCTACTCGATTCATTTGGCAATACACGTCCCGAAGGCCTAGCCTGGCCATTACCTGAGTCAATGCATGGGCATCTGCTTGCAATTCACCTGAGAGACATAATCTAACCCTGGTGATACTATGGTGTTGAAATCGCCTGCACCGATTAGCCTATTCGCCTCTGGGCAGATGGTAGGGAGCAAACACCAGAACCACTTACGATCTACCCTGTCGATAGGTGCACAGGTGTTGATTGGAGCCAGCTTTCTCCACAATAATCTACCACCACCCATGCCCATTTGTCCCGTGTGTCAAAAGAACAGTCGACCGGCTCACCCCCAAATCTTGGTGCGAACTAAATTCCCACCCCTCCTTTTGACCCATCCGCCATTTCCCCGAGTTGCCACCCCTTCCACCAGACTATGCGGCTCGCCGCGCCCACTTTTGTTATTTTCGTTTCTTGTAGAAACAGAACATCCACCCCCTTTTGGGCTATTAACTCATCCATTTCTCTTAACTTGGTCCTCAGGGTAGGGCCCAATATGCCCCGGACATTCCAGGTGGCTATGGTTAATCCAGTGGTCATTTCCCTGCTGCGTCTGTTCCCAAACCAGCTCAGTCATTCAACCAAAAGAAGTCTTAAGGAAGAAGTGCGGTTGGAATACCCATAATCGTCAATGATCCCAAAGGCAGTTGTTCCAGAGGAAGGGTATTTATTCACAATGCTGATATACATTCCCTCAGGGTTCATCATATCAACAGACTCCGTCATTTTATGGGCGTTAACTGTGATCACTCCAAATCTTCTACTAAGAATGTTACACCACACCCTCTGCTATT